TAGAGCCTGGCTGACAAATATGCACAGGGATATTAAGCTCTGTTGTTTTAGGTCATTGCTACTGGTGGCACAGCTAAAAACCATAGCCCTACCGGCCTCATTTTACAGCAGCTACTCTCCTAACCCAAGTCTCCTTTAATCAGGGCTCCAGCTCCAGCAGGCCAAAGATAGTGTGCTGTCTCCACACTTTGCCATTTTGACTGACACAGAGCAGGCTACTTCTTTGAAAGAGAATAGCAGTTTACACTAGTCTCAAGTTTTGTATTCAGACTCAACATTTCTGACACACTAATTGGTCTTGGGATTGTTTATAAAAATCCTGGATTGCCCATTGTGCCTCGCAATGTCTATATTGAGATACTGTCTGCCCTGATAGGAGCAGCTGACCCTTGACAACCTTGGCTGTAAGAATTCCCTAGTATATTCTATTGATGTATTAGGGTTTTAAAATGATTTCTTCCTATTTGCTATTTTAACCTCAAATAATTATTTACTTCTTAATAATGTGAGTAAAGAGGGTTTGGAAAAGGAACTGTTAGATATTACTCTTGGATCTGTGTATTCTCTAAATATCAGTTCCTTGTTCCTTGGCCAAAATATGATAGTGACTAGCTAGTATGAATTGCATATAGATAAGAAGTTTAATATTCACCAAAAGAAACAAATCTTGAGCTTTGAAGGGAATCAAATAGAAATCATAAACAGAGAAGATATTGGAGAATGATTATTTTATAAACTAAATTTTAGTTATCTGACAAAATATGTGCATGAGAGTTAAACAAGATTTAAGGGAAATCAATGCATTGAAAGTTATAAGCCCCACCAACAGATCAAGCTACATAACAGTCATCCACATTCATTTGTTGTGGGGGCGCTGGCTGTGGGAGCAGGACGTAGCCCAGGTGCATGACCTGGATTTTTGGAGCCCACTCCCTATGGTGGGATACCTTGCTCAGTCTTGATACGAGGATGGGGGGGGGCTTGGTCCTACCTCAGCTTCATATGCCAGATTTTATTGACTCCCCAAGGGAGGTCTAGCCCTCTCAGAGAAGTAGATGTACAGATGGGAAGGGGTGGGGGGTAAGAAGGGGAGAGAGAGGGACTGGGGTTAATATATAAAATGAAAAATAATTTAAAATTAGGGGCAAAGTGCCTTTTATTTTATGTTCATATTAAGTAATTTTGTAAAAAATCATGCAAGGAATACATGACATATGTTTTAACTCGTAGACCCATTCTGATAGCAGCTATTTATGTGCTGCCTTTTAAATACAGAGAACAGCTATTGCTGCCTTCAGTCCGTGCTTCTTTGTGTGGAGACCACTTTGATACCTTCTTCGAGGGCACCAGTGAGGAGGCATTCACAATCAATCAAAGGAAATTCGTTCTTTGATATCTTTCCCACCAAGTCTCCTCAAAATAGGAATTTCTTGGCTTGAGCCAAATACAGTTTCCATTATTTATATTGCTTATAGGTACTGAAGAGATGCAACTGCACCTTTGCCTTTGTTGGGCTCTTCTGCAAAGAATGGGATGGTAAATGATTCCACATTTTAATAGAATCAAGCCTCTTCTGCCTACTCATTCTAACACAGGGTAAAAATGACAGTGTCACACACAGAGAACAGAACACTCCTTTGGTTGCTTCAACATATTTTTTCTTCTTCTTCTTTTTTGGCCTCATTTTCTTCTCTGCTGAGCTTTTGAGTCCAAATTTAGTAGGGATGACTAAGAAATTGCCAGGATGTGACAGAGCATTCAGTTCATTGAGTCCTTCCTTGCCATTTTCCAATAGTTGTAACAATTGCCAAGACTTCCTCTTAGCGTTGTAGGTGCCACATTATTCTTAACAGCTGTTAAATCACTCATACAAGATCTGTCCATGCAATGACAGCCTCCTTATAAATATAGCTGATTTTATTCTGTGGTATAAAGGAAATTCCCTGCAGACATTTTGGAAGCTGATACTCTAATAAGTCATATCATTTTCAGTATTTCCTCTTGATCACTGAAATCCAACATTCACATTAATCAGTGGTACACTAATCAACTGGTCTACCATGGACTTGGAGGATACAGCAAGATGGATTTGGAAATAGGACAAGTTCATAGCTGCCATGCATGGGTATAAGTCCCAGGCCATGCCAGTGACCTAGATAAAGTCTCTGGGTGTTGATAGAGATTTAATCAGTTCGGATGGGGAGAAATCACATATAATTCAAAGAAGAATTATATTTAATGTAGGCTTTGAGGAATGAGAAGAAAACTAGGAGTCAGAGAAAGAGAAGTATGTGTTACTAAACAAGCGAACACATTTGGAAAGGCATGTGTGGTTTAGAGGTGGAGGACCAAAAACATCCAGGCATCGGTTGTTTATATTATAATCAAGGTGAAATCACCCAGAGTTCATGAGGAAGGCAACCTTACTTTAAGAAAGCAAATACAGCAGGAGAACAAGGAAGACTGATTATTAGATCCTTGAAACAGTCTGCTGACAAGGTCCTGAAGTCATATAAGTATGGAAGGTGAAGGGTATGGGCCCATGAAATTGAGAGCAAATGGATGAATGCAAGCATCTTCTGGGTTTAAGTGTGAGAAGATACTATTTGGTAGATCCCAGATACTAGAAGAAGAGTAGGAGAGAAAGTGGAGGATGGAATAAGTGTTGACCCGTGCTTCAGCTATTCTTTATTTCTGTGTTGAATTCTTTCCCATCCTTCCAGAATCAAATATCATGATCTTTTCTGTCTATGAAAATGTCCTTGGTGCCCCCTGTCAGAATTAAATCTGAATTCGCTTCTCTTCTTAGACAATATGTCTTGTTTGAACTTTCATTTTGAACTTATGACAGCATATATATATCTCATGCTCTAGTCATTTTCATGATCCCCTCAGATATAGAGTAAGCTAAGGGGATATATTTAGTATGTCTGAAATTTTTAGTATCATTCAAGTATTTAATTCGCCATCTGAAAATGTATATAAAATTATGAATAAATGCTACTATCACACAATATGCTAAGCCTGGCCTGTTTTGGAGACCTGAATTAGAGCACACATTGATCCTGTCTACTCATTCTATACTCAGGGATATTTTCTTCATATGACTTCATGAACACTGTCGCCTAACTTGATCATCAGCATCCTTCAGCAGATTCACTTGCAAATGATTTCTGACTTTTTATGAAAGGAAAATCTACTTTCCAAGGATGAATACTTTATCCAAGTGATGACTGAATTCACAAAGAACTCCAGAAATTTTTCTCATCGCTAGAGGAAATGTGGAGATTTTTTTTTTATCAAATGTCTTTGTAGACATACTTTGGCTTTCTCTGTGTTGAGAAATCCCACAAAGAGAAAATTTTAGAACCCATAAATAGAACTCTTTTAAGTTTCTGCCATGTGACAGTTACCCCAGAAGTACATTTAGTAGGTTGATTTTGTGTGAATCCTAGGAGGAGATCTATGGTGTGTACCTAGATTGAATGAAATGACCCCCCAAAGTTACTCTGATCAAGTGCATTCTGCAGAGCAAAGAAGGACATCGGGCATATTACTGAATGAGGTGGGGTTTAATAATTATAATATTAAAAAAGAAAATTGCTTGAATTTTCCCCTTTCAGAGAAGTGCTGAGAAATGTGTTCCCATTCACTAAAATAACTTTTAGAACATTACAGATGTTGTTGCTCAGCTGGTGTGTATGCTGAGAATGATATTAAATATGAAAGTGAGGGGAAAAAAGAAACATGAAGACATGGTTTAGAAAAGACAAGTGGCCTAGAAAACATGCACAACAAGGGTTTGCAAACATCAAGCAAAATTATCAACTGTTGTTCCTGATAACATCCCAGCAAATTAGGGAAAAAGATCTGATAACATCATTGGCATCTCTACTTTACTTTTCTTGTTATCTTCCACTCAAAGTGCCTGCTCTGCTACTCTATGAATTGCTTATAGATTAAAACCCATTCATTGTTTTATTTAGCTTAGCTTAGAAATGGCCACTTTAACATATGCTTAATCTATGTATGTGTTCATGTAAACACCCAGGCTAAAAGAAAGCTTTTTGTCCTTGAACAATCTTCTGTGGTTAGAAGAATTTCATGTAAATGACCCATTTAAAATAAAATGTGGATATGTCCAAGACAGAAAATCACAGCCCAAGGTGCAAAGGGTTATTTTCTTGTGTTCGTTTATAGAATTACTGTAAATTCTTTGCTACCATATTGATTTGCTTATAAATGTTAAGTTAAGGAAACAATGAGGTTAGAGGTAAACTATCTTGAATTAAGATCCAAAGAGCTAAAAAAAAAGTCAATTTGATTTATTTTGTGGTGAAAGATAAGCTTTCTTTGTAGAACTATTTTAGAAATCTATGTGACAAGCATTGTAACACTGCTTATAGACTCAGTAACTGGTAACCATAATATATGATAACCTTAAATCTATGAAAAGTAATCACATGCTGGTAAGATGATACTTCAGTAGACAAATACACTTGTCACACAAATCCTAGAGACCTAAGTTCAACAATTGAAACATAAGTAAAAGTGAAAAGAGAGAGCGTTTGTTTTCTGATCTCCACATGTCAGCCACACACACACACACACACACACACACACACACTAATAATATAAAAAGTTAATGCAAAACTAAATGTTAATTTTCTTTTATTTATTGTTGAGGAGAACAAAGATTTCAATCTTGACTTAGTCTAGCATACAATTATGTGGCTTGTCCGAACCTTCCCATTGTTTACTGCAGAGAGCCAATCACTGATCAACGGAATTTTTACATCAGGTGTTCTCTTAAAAGATCACATAAATTGCTACATGTAGTCTTTCCAGTGATAATAATTTCTCCTATTCAAACAGAGTATCTTTCATATAAGCTTTAACAATGCATTATCTAAACCCCTGAAAGGCATATTCTGTCTACTCTACTTGAAATTCACACCCTTATAAATATTGACTTTTGCATTTATTTACTTTTGTTTCAGGAGCATTTCACACCTGAGTGCAAATTCAAAGAATCAGTGTTTGAAAATTATTATGTGACATACTCATCGATGATCTACCGTCAGCAGCAATCAGGCCGAGGGTGGTATCTGGGCCTGAACAAAGAAGGAGAGATCATGAAAGGCAACCATGTGAAGAAGAACAAGCCCGCAGCACATTTTCTGCCCAAACCACTGAAAGGTAAATCTGATAGTCTATAGACTATGGATGCTGCTGTGAAAATTACTAATTAAATAAGTCCTTTAGGTGCTGTTGGCTGCCAAACAATTCTTACATATTAGGGCATCTATCTATAAATTTTCAAGCCTTTCACAGCACTAGAAACCATCAAGACCAAAATGTACAAACCATGCCAACATTCAGACATTCTCAGTAGCCTCTACTCATATTTTAATTTGTCCATGATAACACCTTTCTTAGAAGGAGGGACCTAAATTGCAAACTCAAGACAACTAAAAACCCTAAATGATAACAAAACAGCTTATAGAAAAGATAACCATGGAGTTTAGATTGTGTATATATTTAACCTTTATAGGAAAACCCCTTGGTCAATATAGACCTAAGAATTCTCATTCACAGTTTTCTTTTCAGATTAATCGACAAAAAGAGAGATAACTGTTATTTTATGGTTTTTACTACTGTGATAAAACACCATAACTTAAGACCACTTGGGGAGGAAAGGGCTCATTTAATCCTACACTGCCACATACATCACAGTCCATCATGGATGGATGTAGTGAGATAGTCCTTCTGTGGCACTGACCACGCCCATTGGGGGGGTGGAGCCATGGGCGGAAGTGACCTGTGGAAGGAGGTCGGAGAGAGAGCTGGGAAAAGCTCTCTTGCTGGCGTGACTCGGACAGGAGAGAGCATCGGGTTGAATTTCCTGGTGTTCATCTGTCTAGGTTGTAAGTTATTTCTCCCTGAATAAACATCTATTCGGCCTATTTGTTTATCCTGATCTTTATTTAACCGCAATAGATGGAAGTCAGGACAGGAGCTCAAACAGGGCAGGAATCTGGGGTCAGGATCTGATTCAGAGGCCATGGAGAGGTGTTGCTGACTGGTTTGCTCATCATGGATTGCACAGCCTGCTTTCTTATAGAACCTGGGACCACCAGCTCAGTCTGATTTCTTCTATCATCCAGAATCACCAGCCAAGGGTGGCACTGTCTACAGTGGTCTGCACCCTCTCATATTATTCATCAATTAAGGAAATGCTCCACAGGCTTACCTGTACAGTCTGGTGCGGGCATTTTCTTAGCTGATGTCTTTTCTTACTAAATGATTCTGCCTCATATAAAATTGACATAAAACTAGCCACCACAATTGACTCCTTATCAGCTTGATACACAACTAGAACCTTTCCTTTCTTATTTGTCCCTGTGATGGCATGTTAATATTAGTATCACAGTATAAAACATTCCAATTGTTCCAGTCCCATGGCCTTCAAATTTTCAGCCATTTAAAAAGTTCAGCCTCTTCCAAACATCCAAAACCTATATCATGTTCAAAGTTCCTATGAAATATCTAAGGTCTCTCTAAAATCCCAAACTCTCCCTAAAATTGCTGAAGTCTTTTAACTACAAGCTCTGGAAAATCAAAAACAAACTACATACTTCATTACTCTAAGAAGGAATAACCATAGGATAGTCACAATCAAATCAAAGCAAAAGAAATATTCAACAGTGTAAAAAGTTCACCGTTTGGTGTTCAGGACCCAATTATGGTACTCCATCTTCCAAAGTGCCTTGGGAACCACAGTTCTCGAAGCCCTGCTATTCACAGCACATACAGTGTTATCTTCTATGCTTTACTCAGCTCTGCTCCACGGCTGGTGCGCTCCAAGATGGTTATCACATGTTACTGCCATCTCCAAGATGGTGGCATCTCTATTTCACCTGGGCTACACCTTCACCAATAGCCTCTCTTGGGCTCCTCTCTTCAGGGACACTAACTCTGCATATGGTGTCAATCCTCAATGTTTCTCAATGACCCCTTCAATCCTGAGGCTTCTACTTTAACGGAAGCTAGTCACCAATTGCCTCTCCTGGCGGCCTCACAGTGCAAAATCGCAGCTGCTCTCTATGAGCTCTTTATGCCTTCAAAATTAGTAACACCTGGTAAACTCGCATCATCAATTTTGACTGCCAGCACAAGGTATAGCCCTGGCAACCTTTGGACCATAGCTCTGTGTGCTGATCATAGGGAAACACTTCTCAGAAGATTTTACCTCAGTGATGCTGGTATCTTCTTAATGGCAACTGATTCTTTAGCCCCAGCTGACAGGTATCAATTGTCCCAAGAAGTAAAAGATTTACTTTGGTGGGTCTTAATACAAAATATCAAAGAATAGATTCTTTAAGAGACACTCAAAACACCCTACTGAAACGGCACAAGTCAGGTCTCTATCAATCACTTTGATCTCATGTCTATATTATTTGTTCCCACAAGTCACTAAGCTCTGAACAATGAATGGCTTTTCCAGCCCAACATTCCAGACTTCACTGTCCTCAAAACGTGCTCAGGTCTATAACAGCAATACCTAATGAACTGGTACCAATTTCTCTTTTAGTTAGGACTACTATTGCTGAGATAAAACACTATTACCAAAATCAACTTGGGGAGGAAAGGGTTTATTTCTCTTCCACTTCCACATCACAGCCCATTAAAGGAAGTCAAGGCAAGAACCTAGAAGCAAGGCAAAGGTTATATAGAGATGTTTACTGACTTGTTCAACCTGCTTTCCCACAGCACCTAGGGTCACCAGCTCAGTGCTGGCACCACCCACACAGTGAGTTGAGCCCTCCCACATCAATCAAGGAAATGCCACTATAGGCAAGTCTACAGTCCAGTCTCCTAGGAACATTTTATTAATTAAACTTCCCTCTTCCCAAATAACTCTACTTGTGTCACACTGACACAAATCTAGCCAGAACAGATGTAAAAATAAACTAAGAAATAGCAATATTAGAGGAGAGAAACAAGAGACAGTTCTAGCTTCCTTTTTCACTAAGTGGATGGTCAAATTGTGTTTGTTTGTTTGAAACACAGTCTCACATGAAGCTGGGGCTTTCTAGTTCCAGTTGGCCTCAAATTCATCATCTTTTTGTTCTCAACCTCCAAATTGCCAGAATTATAGATGTTTGCCACCATGCACACTGCTAACGAAATGATCTTGAAATGCTACTGCATGATCATCAGTAAAATTTAAGTAAGATAATTCACTGGCTCCTTAGTGATACCATGGCAGCCTAGGCTACAGTCAGCTCCTGTCTCGAGTAAAAAACGTGTTGTTACAACATAGCATTCTTAATAGGACAAAATGCAGTGATATCTATGGTGAACTTAGTATCTACCATATTGTATTTCACACGTATGTGCTAGTAATGTGATTTCTAGCCTAACAATAATTGCTAACATTTATTGTTCTAAAAATCTTACTAATATGTTTAATCTTAGAGAGTTTGATTTAAAGTATGATACAAAAAAATCAATGTTTTACAATATGTAAAATTTTAATATTAAGCTTCCACGGTGTTTAATAGATTATATTTAAACTACTGAGCCCATCATTAAATTGTGTAATGCATATTAAACTGTCAATGATAGAAGTTAGGTATTAAAATCCCATATGTGTGACTGTATGAAGACGAAAAGTCATCTAATCTAGTTTCATTCACACTGCTAAGTACTTGTATGTTTGTCTTAAGGCATAGATACTTAATAACCAAAACGTTTGCTTTTGTCTGTATTCTTTGTTTCTTTTCAATAGTCAAAATTAAATCAAAGCTATTTATTTTGTATAAAATATTACAAAATATGTATTCACTGTGTAAGGGCTGAATTGAAATAATGAACACGAGCTTTGCTTCCTGAATTTAGAAGTTTTAAAACGAGAACACCTAGGATCTGTTGTGGAAATTTAGAAGAGTACAGTACATTAATGTGCCCCTTTAAAGGTTTTTCCCTCCATCTTTGTGCTTTTCAGTGGCCATGTATAAGGAGCCGTCTCTGCATGATCTCACGGAGTTCTCCCGATCTGGAAGTGGGACCCCGACCAAGAGCAGAAGCGTCTCCGGTGTGCTGAATGGAGGCAAATCCATGAGCCACAATGAATCAACGTAGCCAGTGAGGGCAAAACAGGGGCTCTATAACAGAACCTTACCTCCAGGTGCTGTTGAATTCTTCTAGCAGTCCTTCATCCAAAAGTTCAAACTTATCAGAGAGGTTTACCAAACACACAGGCAGAGTTCCCTATTCTATCTGCCATTAGACCTTGTTATAATCCATACTAAAGCCCCATAATTTAGATTGAGCTTGTACAAAACAATGGCAAGCATTATCAGTGAACTAACTCTGGAGGAAGGACTGCCAAATCTTCTCATGATCTCACCTATACTTTGGGGAGAACACAGCAAAAATATTTCACAGCACTAATGCTGGCCAATTTGTTTCCCAAATAAGAAAATTTAAAAGACCACAGCTATTCTTTAAAAAAAAAAAAAAGTAAAATTAACTGCTTAAATGTTTTGTAGGGGCAGAAAAAAAAATCTGTGAACCGTGTTGTTTTCTTGGCTTCATGTTTTCTATCTATGCTTGATGCAAATGTACTCTTTAATATAGTGAAATTGTATGATTTCTGAAATCCAATGGTTCTATTGACTCTCACTTAATCCAAATCAACCAAATTCAGGGTTGATTCTGAATTGGCATCTCAGGCTCAAGGTAACAGTGTTCTTACAGTTTTTCCTCTCCCTCCCCTCCCACGTCTTGCCCTCCCCTTCCCCTGCCTTTCTCTCACGTTTTTGGTGTTAATTAGAACTGTAGCATTCTGGTCAAGTTCTTGTGCTGTACTTTGTGCGTAGAAATTGAGTTGCATTGTCAACCCCAGTCAGTAAAGATAAGTTGAAACAAGATTATCCTCAAGTGTAGATTTCTCTTAATTCCATTCGTGTATCATGTTAATCTATTGTTGTGGCTTCTTGTGTAAAGACAGGAACTGTGGAACAGTGGTGTCGTCTTTTGTGTTGTTCAAATAAGAACTGTCTCATCTGTACATGTGCAAGTCCCCCCCCCCCGCTGTTGTATTTGGCACGTGAACATTGTATTGTGTACAAGGAAATGTTAAGACTGGTTCCCCCTAAACAACATATATTATACTTGCTACTGGAAAAGTGTTTAAGACTTAGCTAGGTTTCCATTTAGATCTTCATATCTGTTGCATGGAAGAAAGTTGGGATCTTGGCATAGAGTTGCATGATATGTAAGATTTTGTGCATTAATAATTGTTAAAATCTGTGTTCCAAAAGTGGACATAGCATGTACAGGCAGTTTTCTGCCCTGTGCACAAAAGTTAAAAAAGTTGTTTAATATTTGTTGTTGTATACCCAAATACGCACCGAATAAACTCTTTATATTCATTCAAAGAAAAAACAACTTCAATGTGTATTTATTGCCCATTATTAGAAACTGGACTTAAATATTAAATACTAAGTATGTTAGAAACTGGACTTAAACACTAAATTTCATAGGGAAGGCTGCCACCACTGCTAACGTCAGTGTTCACATGAACACTCTTTTCAGGTGTGTCTCTGAATCTTAATCTTCCACATTGGTACTGAAGAATCCTTATTGTCATTCAGCAAAGTGAACAAGGATCTATGGTTAGTCACCCGTTCTGCATTCACAGTGTCATCACCATTCCTTTGGCTTATTTCTCTCCTCTGTCAAGGGAAAAAAACAAGACTAAATAGCTGGGAGAATGGAAGGGAAGTATAAGACTTCTTTCTCTGTGGATGCCTTTTCTTTAGCTCCCCAGAGCTTCTGACGCCTGGAAATGAAGGCTTTGGGAGTAGTCAACACAGGAAGAATGGTGGAGCAAACCATACAAAGGGGTATGTTTTAACGCAAGGGTAACATAGTTGCCATGGCACCAACAGTTTTTACAGAGAGATAAAGGTGATGATTCCCAAGATGTTTGGACCAGACTCAGCAGAAACTCCTCCCTGGTCTCAGCCCAGTCACTTTGTGACTCTGAGGCACACATGCAGGAGGAGGTAAAGCACTTGCCGGTCTTGAACTCAAGAACTTTTGTATAAACACCAGTAGATTCAAATTGTTCCCTCGGCTGATCTTCCTTTGTCCAAGCACCTGAATTTCACTTTTGGCTGTTTGGGTTGCTGGTCTTATTTTTCTCATCATACAGGAACATGGTAGTCTACTTGTCATAAACATATCAGCACTTTGGTGTGTCACTAAAGCTGCAAGAGCAAAAGGAAGAAAGTGTGCTCTCAGAAGAGTTCCCTTTGAGCTACCTTGCTTTTCGTTTTGTTTTGCTTTGTTCAAACAAAGTTCCACTATATAGCCATAGCTGGCCTGGGACCCTCTATGGGTAGACCAGGCTGGCCTGCAACTCACTGCAGTCAATCCTCCTGCTTGAAGTTGTTTTGAACAGTGTATATTTATTTAAAAAGTAAAGAATTCAAAACTGTTTATATAAGTAGTGGTATTGCTTGTCCATGCCTTTACTGCACATATATTTACATATTCTTCATGGTAAATATATTGGTCCTACCATGAAATTAGAAACATAAACATACTCCATGATGAAAGAGGAAACTAAAAACACTTTTGGTTCTCTGACTTTCACACACTGAGGATCACCTTGGAAGTTCAAAAGCCCCAGATTGCTGGAGCTCACCTCCAGTGGTTCTAATTTACAGTGGAGCCAAAACCTTGGATTTCTCTCTGGTCCCTGCGTTGTACTGAAGCTGCATTCTTCCCCTCCTTAAATTAAAAGTAGGCTTGAGTCCATTACATGCTGCAGAGCCTCCAAGATACCTTTTTTAAACTGTTAGGATATACAAGGCTGACTACAGAGCCCTATTTTTACAGAGCACCTATTAGCACCACAGTAGAGGGGTGGCCCTCAAGCTTTCTATCACTGTAGTTGTTATACATTTGCGTGGTTTTAAAGTGGCTTTGGGAAATCTCCTGAATTGGATGTTGGCCATAGTTGGATAAAACCATGTTCTATGGCATAGCATCTGACCTCACATTACCACGGGGAATATCTGTCTAAACCTTACACTGTGTACCATCTAGAATCAAAAGTGGAAAAGATTATTTTCTTCATTGCAATTCTTTGGAAACAAAACAAGTTGTCCTGCCAACCAGGAATTTTGTTGGTACATCAAGAGAGCCCAGGTACAAGTTCCCAAGCATCCATTTCCCAAGTGAATATGTGGAGAGGGTGAATATCTAATAAGATCATCTTTCCATCTGTGGCAGTTGATTAAAATCATTCTGTGTATGAGTGGTGGTAGACTCAGAACAGATAATCACTTTGAATAAATTTCATCCTGAAGTGCCTTAAAAGCCTCATAAGCTGAAGTGCACTATTCGTGGGTTAAATTGAAAGGTGCCCTCACTGGGATTTTTCAGAAATATCCAGCTTTCTACTAATGATCTCATCAAAGAAATCTATATAGTGTCTATCATATTTTCAAAATTCTTTCAACCTCTATTGAAAGCCAGCTTCAAGTTGTAGATATTGATCACAGCAGAATCTCACTAGCTAGTACCAAAACCTAGACTGGGTTATAGTAGTGCCATAAGACCCAATGATTTCAGGTAACACAAAGAATTAGTGAGTAGCTAGAATAGAATACTATAATCTCAAATCCATAATCATATTTATAAATATGACTATCCACAAAATATTGTACCATGGTATGACCTGAATCATTAGCTATCCTAGAATGAAAAATACCATGAAATTACATGGTTACTGTGCAAGATTTCTGTCGCCTCAGGTAAATTTTACCTCCCTTAATTATCAAGAATCCTATAGACAGTAGTGAACTCAATAAGTTGCCTGTATATTAGATGACAAAGAAAGTAATCCTGGGGACAAATGATCCACCCACCCCAGCCACCTGCTTTTCTAGGACTAAAAGCATAAGCTACAGTGTCTGTTTTCTACAAGGCCATTATTTAGTGGTGCTGAGAATTAAACCTAAGGCCTAGTGAATTCTAGGCAAGCACTCTACTACTTAGCTGTACCCACATTCCTCTGTAGAGACATTCAGTTGGTTTTTGTTATTGTGTTTATTTGTTTGTTTGGTTTGGGTCTTTTTTACTGTTAACTTCATATAATGTATTTTGATCATATAGCTCCTCTCACGTACACCCCTACCTTTCCAGTTTCCAATTCTCTGTCTATTTTCTTAACCCACCAAGTCTAGTTCATACTCAAAAGCTCATAGGTGTGGGGCCAACCATGTGAACACCTCCCCTCATGCTGGAATATTGACCAGCTTTATCTTGTACAAGTATAGTGCAGATAATCCCAGCTGCTGAGACTTCAAGAGTGTAGAGGTACTGTCATATGCACAAGGTATTGTTTCTCTCTGAACCTCCCTGGCTTTACTATCATTCCATCCAAAGGTCCCTGTGCCTTAAGAGGAAGATGTATGACGTAGTTGTCCCATTTATGGCTGGCCACTCTACTGACATTTTATTTTCAGCACTTTGACCAGTTGTGAGTTGCTGCGTTAGTTGCTGTCCAATGCACATACAAACTAATAGTTGCACTAATCTGTGTGTATAAAGATTAATTTAAAAAGATGTCTAATATTATATCTATTCAGCTGCACAATCATAGTAGGCACGATGATGAGTTGGAGCAACTTCCCCACCATAGGTTCTTGACCATATTTATAGTGCTTTGTATTTCTGCTCATGGAGTGAACCTTAAATCCAATAATACAGAGGCTGGATATCCCTATAACATTCATGCCACTATTGCCCCCACAGGCATATCTTACCATAATAGTCACTGCTAAGATGATTTTTCCCCAGCAGCCTGCATAGCAGCTTCCAGTTCTAGGAATGCTAGCCAGCTGGGTGAACGTGTTATATGGACATTCTTGAAGAGGTTTACAACAACTACAATTCTGCACAAGTCTTTCTAGAGCATGTAACATTCATGATATTTGGCATTTGAATTCTAAAATAACATAACATCAACCCAATTTCTCAGTTTTTTGTATTTGTTTCAAATACTTCTTCCCTCTATATAAATGTCACACGTACACAAGCACAAATCCTGGTGTGCTTCCCAAAGGACTTTGGTTGCAGACTGGTCATGGGGAGTCTAGAAATCAAATTTAGAAATCCATGATTCTGTCTTCAGAAGCAGTCCTGAACTTTAAACTAAGGATTTACCCAGATTTCTCTGACAATATATTAACATATTTGCATATATTTTGTACTCTAAATACTTATGTGTATTCTTAAAATCCTTTGTTTCCATTTGTACGAGGCTAACTATTGGAGTAAAAACGTTGGGTGATGACTGAATGAAAATCCAGCATCCTTGAATCATTGCTCAGCTTGTACTATAGATATGTATTAACTTACATATAGTCACTGCTGCACAGCATGTTGCTGAGGCTTGGGTAAAGCATCCACACAAGATAAATGGGTAGACATCAAGTCAGTCATAGAGAAAAATAGATATTCTGGAGTTTAGCAACAGGGAAATGTCTTTTCTGGAATTAATAAAGTAGAACAGCAGCTCTTCACATACGTTTTTAACTCTGTCATAGTCACCTTTGTACAACTGGAAATTTACAGGCCAGGTGTTCTTTCACCCTTTGAGCCCTTCAAAACAAGAATGGACTAGTACTCAATGGAGTACTACTCAGACACTGTCCTCCCTTTAATGTAAAATAACTGACCAGTACAGCTTGACCAATGTTTGA